TTAGAAATGAGTTCTGTCTCAGGACCAGCAGGTGGCGTGGTGGTTAGGTGCTCCCACATGGCTGACTGTGGTTCGAGTCTCGGACCTGGGGGCTTACTTTCTCAATTTCCCTCTCTCTATCTCTCTGTCTCTCTCCAGTAAGCATATATGGCCTACAGCAAATTTTAAATAAGTGATAATAATAATAAAATTAAATCCTTTTTTAAAAAAAAAAGAAAGAAAAAGAAATTATGTCTTTATCTGCCTACCTCAAATATGAGGTCTTAGGACCAGCAGATGGCATGGTGGTTAAAGTGTTGGACTCCCACGTGGCTAACCATGGTTCAAGTCCCAGACCTGGCAGGTTACTTTCTCACTCTCCCACCCTGTTTTTCCCTGGTGAGTATACACTCCTTATAGCAAACTAAAAGTAATAATAATAATAAATTTTTAAATTAAATAAATAATTCTTTAAAAAGATAAAAAAGATGGAGCCTATTCTAAGTATTAGGCAAAGTGGGTTCATAATAGTCGATTTTATTTTAAAATGTTACACCTGGGTTGGAAATATGAACTGAAATTTTCAGTAGGCTGAGAGAAGAAAAAGTACACTTATAAATTCTTGAGATCCAATGCAGTGTGGATGAAATGCCACCAATCTCCTTTCTTTTCCTTTCCTTTTTATTTTGTTTGTTTGTTTGTTTGTTTTGTTTACATGGTGAAGAATTTATCCCTCCAGAGGGCAGGCAGCCTCTAAGACTGAGGCGCTGACTTGATGAGTAGAAAGAAACGGATCTAAGCGCAGAGCCCAGTTCATTTCATTTAACAACTGCCTGGGACTAGATCACGTGATGTTTGCTAAATTTACCAAGTAACAAAATCCCAGGAAAACAACAAAATTGGGAAGTCACATGACTTCTCTGCCATGATCTCAGTCCTCTAACTCAATTCTCAACATTTTAAAGAAGGGCTCTATGAGAAAAGTTTCTGGTAGTCTTCGCTTTTTAAGCATGTACTTGAAGAAGTCAGGAACTCTTCCATGCTCTCCGTGGGAATTCACAGAGCTCTCTTCTTTCTACACCTCCTAGTAAGGGTGACTAACTCCTTTCCCCGCTCCCCCTGTCTGGACAAGCTAAGTATTTCCCTTCCATATGGCACAAAGCCTTCTGTCTGAGGGCTTAAAGGTCAGGTGTCTCAGAACACAATATATATAACATATGTCATCTAAAAATATAGACCAGTAGTGTAAGGGAAACGCACCATCTTCCTCTTTTTTAGGGTAAAAAGTTTATTTACTAATAACAGAGGAGACGTGAATCTTCACCCATAAGAGAATCCAAACATAAGGATCATTTTAATCTGTTCCCTAAGGTGTTCTTCATGTGTGCTTTCGGCTAGAAAGCACATTGCTGTTTCAACTGCAGCCAAACACTGGAATTAGAATTTCCACTGCATTTAATGATTTCCAGTCAGAGCCTCTAGTGAGCATAAGGGAAGGCCATTAGCACATTAATAGAAAGGACTGCCATTTTATCTTTAATTCCTTTGGGTACTAACAGGTGCTGACGGGATATTAGCTGACACCCCCGACCCCCGCCAAGTGACAGTGCATAGAGCAACTAGGAGAACCAGGACCGCTCACGTGTGAGGTCTGAAAGCCCTGCCAAGGGGGACAGGGAGCAGCGGGTGGGAGGAAAATGACAGCCAGCTCCTATACTGGTGGCCTCTGCTCCATCCAGATTTCTGGAGTGGGCTCAGTGGGTGGAAATAGAAGTGCCAATGGTGTGCGCCCAGCTGAAACACCAGATGTAAATCTCTCACTTGCCATGGCATCAGCTGAAATATATTCAGTTGCTTAGAAAAAGCATTTTTAACAACGGAATAGAAGTGGGAGTCAGATTTAGTTGTTTTACACAATCTCTCAAATCACCAGGGAGCCCCAGGAGCAAGACCTGAAATGAATCAGGCTAAGGCAACTAAAAAATTACCTTACAGTGGTTAAGAAACCTATTAGCTTCCTTTCTGTCAATGAAAATCTCAGTATATTAAGTCTGTCCAGCACTGGGTGACTGGAAGGTACAAGAAGACCCTTGACAACTTGGGAACCAGGAAACTCTATATAATGTGTGGATATATTTCAAACAAATTCAATTTAATCCAATTATCATATACTGAAAACCTAAAAACATCAGGTATTGTATTAAATTCTGAAAACATAAAGATAAACAAAATTGGCTTTGTTCCTTTAAGCGCAATTTAACGGGGGAAGAAACAGACATGTTCGGATGGATATAATGGGACACGTGTCCAGCTAGTCATCCAGTAGGTGGCTATAACTCCTCCACAAATTGGAAAGGCCCTTGGAGATACCGTCTGAGCTCATTCCCACTGACAAAGAGCTTGTCAGGGAAGGGCAGTTCAGGCCAAAAGAGGGGTAAGGACGAAGTCAGGAAACATCACTCCCTCGCTCCACCTGCAGCGCGCCTGCTCTCCACCTGTGCTCTGCTAACTTCTGATCATTCTGGGCACTCGGCTCGAGCCCTGGTTAGTGGAGGGACAGATGTTCCTGGCATGGCTACTTCTTCCTCCACCCTCCCTGGACACAAGCCAAGTGTGGCCCCTTGGATCCTTGGTGTCCTGTACAAAACATCAGGTAATTTAACACAATACCTGATGTTTTTGTGGATGCCCTGCACATAGTGAGAATGATTCCTATTTATCTGGCACTTCCAGCAGACAGGACAGGGGTTGACATACAGCCTGCTCCACAAATGTCTACCACTTGTTGGGCGAACATTTGGGGGAACACAGGAATTTCGTGGGTCTGACCACTTTGCACTTCAGGATCTGAGGCAAGAGATGAAGTGGAAAGGGCTAGAAGATCTACCTGCCAACAGGGTATGGGCTCCATCATACTTACCGACTGAGGGTTCATTTTACCGGTCATCAAAGCCAGCAAGTCCGAGTCAGCCATCGTGATTGTGCAGTCGGCTTTCTGATCTAAGCGATCACAGGGGAAGGAGGAGAGAGAAGAGTGTTCAGCTTCACACATAGGTTTTAGCCCGGAGCCCCTGACTGCGACAGAGCTGCACCCAGCCCTGAAGCAGTGAGGGGAAGTGGGTGCCCACGTGCACCTCTACAGCAGCCTGGTCCGATGTGGCATAAACCACAAGCAAACTCAGTATTTAACAAGAAGGAATTGATTAAATAAATAATGATAAATTCATATAATGGTATACAATGCAACCATTTTAAGAAATAATATGGATCCAGACTTACTGACCTGAAAAAATACACATGCCATCTGGCAAGTAAAAGCATTTGGGGGGCAGCAGGTGGTGCAGTGGTTAAGGCACTGGACTCCCACATGGCTGACTGGTTGAAGTCCTGGATCCAATGGCTTGAAAGTCACATTGAATACGTGTGTGTGCATGCCCAAATCCTGAGAGGAGAATGGAGGAGCAGGGAATGCAGTGGCCATCCTCCTGGAGGATGATTTCTTACTTTTCCTTTCTCTGTCTCTCTTCCGTAAGCAAACGTGCCATTTGGCAAAAACCTTAATTTTTTTTTTTTTAAATAAATGTAGAGTAATTTAAACTCTCTTATAACATGGAAGGGAATGTAAACCAACACATCCAAACCTGTTTGGCTACACTGTACCTTATGACCTCGCCTTGCCATCCCCAGGTAGGCGCCCAATGGAAATGAGTACATATGTCCATAACAGACACGAGACTGTCCACACAGCTTTCGTCATCAGACCCCAAAATGGAATCAACAAAAAAATACATCAGTTATATAATGAGAAAATTCTGTTCTTCACACAGTATAAACAAAACTATTGCTTTGTGTAACAAAATTAGTGAATCTTTTTATTTTTAGAGATTTTTGCCACAGAGTGCGTGCACTTGCTAGAGAGATGGAGAGACGGAAAAGAAGCAATCTCTCCCCACAGTCCCTTCTCTATTCTCCCCTTGGGATTTTGGGCACTCATGCACACATGCCTGGCATGAGTTTAAACTACCGGGTCCAGGACTCGAACCATGGTTGACTACGTGGGAGTCCAACAACACAAGCATTATGCCATCTGCTGGTCCCCAAATGAGTGAATCTCATACTGCTGAGCAAAAGGCAGACCTAAAAAAGAATAAATATCGTATTTGTTCAATAGAATGAAAACCAATCAACAGAATGAAGACCCTTGTCAGTCTTATTTACAGCTATTTCCCCAGGCCCTTGAACTGTACTTGACACATAAATGGCAATCAATAAATAGTCGTTGAATAGATGAATAGATTACATAGAATCCAAAAGATTGTCAAATTACGGCCCCTTCCTTAGCTGATCATGTAGTCTATGCCTTACCAGAAGAGGCATGTGGGGCCAGCAGGTGGCGTGATGGTTAAAGTGCTGGACTCCCACAGGGCCAACTGTGGTTTGAGTCCTGAACCTGGCAGCGTGCTTTCTTACTTTCTCTCTCTTTCATGAGCATACATGTCCTATAGGAAATTAAAACAATAATAATAATAAATAAATAAAACTAAATAAATAATTCTTAAAAGAAAGACACATGTATAAACTGTTAAAGCACAGCATGCCCTATTTTTAAATAACTAAAACAAGGTACGAAAAAAGTATTTTTTTTTAAAGAGCGATTTTTGCTATAAGGCATGTGCACTCACTGGAGAGACAGAGACAGAGAGACAGAAAGAGAAATCACCCCCCCAGGGGGATGGCCATGCCATAATCCCTTCTCCTTTAATCTCTGGGGATTTGGGGCATGCACACACACGTGCCCAATGTGAAATTTAAGCTGCCAGGTCAGGGACTTGAACTGCAGTTAACTACATGGGAGTCCAGCGATATACCATTACACTATCTGCTGGTCCCAGGAGAAAAAATTTTTTGTATGTTTTGCAATTCAGGGATAGCCCCTAAAAATACTGAGATTCATGGTCATTTCACCTCACCTGCTAACAAATATTTTTTCTTTTTATTGCAAAAAAGGTCTAAAGCCTTAAAAATGAAGGAACTTACAGTCTAGAAAATCCAGTTCTACTGCAGATATAGAACATCATAAAGCAGGGGAAGAAGGCTAACAAATCGAGGTAGCTGAATCTGATCTTAACATTCTAAGATCCTAATATTCTAAGACTCTTCGTCATTGAAAGGGGACTTTAGGAAGTGAAAGCTGCTGCTACAGTATCCCTACGCGGAGCACTTTACATACCGATCTCATTTGATCTTTACAACTGTCCTATGAGAGTCAGAGAGGTCAAATAACTTGCCCGAGATTATACAGCTAGTAAGTGGCTGAGCTAGGTCAGAATTCAGATTCCTGAGGCTGAAGCCCATACTTACATTCCTGAATTCAACTGTTTCCTCTTGATATGGGAAGAAAGCAAACATTCAACAGCTCAGGGTTTTTTTTTTTTAAATGACAGAGTACACATGTGCATACGAGAAAGAGACAGAGAAGGGGGGCGAGAGAGAGCAGGAAGGGAGAGAAGGAGGGACAGAAAGAGAGACAGAAGAGAGAAAGCACCCCTCAATGGACCTGTCATGCTGCAACCCTTCTTTCTCCAATTCTCCATCTCAGGATCCTGGGCTCACATATGTGTACCCAGCATGTTTTCCAAGCCTCCAGGACTGGGACTTAGACTCCAGTCAGCCATGTGGGCTCCACTTTTCTCCACAGTGTTTGACCACTGCACTACAGGGCCAGCTCTCACAGCTCAGTTTTAAGTGAGATGAATTCCAGATGCTTCCCCAGTTCCCAAGCCCTTTTGAGGGGCTTCTATAAGTCTACATGTCCAAGTGAAATTGATGCTTAACATTTAGGTTCTGGAGAAAACAACGGTTTACTCAGCCCTTGCTATGCTAAGTGCTTTATGAATCTTATATCTCATTTATTCCTTACAACATTTCTATGGATAGAAATGGTTCTCACCATTTTCTAAACGAGACTATTGGACTCAGGGAAGGTAAACACACTGTAAATGACAGAACCAAGATCTGAACCCAGGTTAGGGTGTCTCTAAAGGTCACACTC